AAAGAAACATTGGGAAATAATGATTAATGTTCTAAATAGATTTGAATTAGATAAAATGACAATTGTCGAGTTCATTGTTTCATTCATTTTACTCTAATATAATCATGTTTGATGATAAACTGTTTTTGGTTTTTTTTTTTTTTTTTTTTTTTGTTAGTAGAAGTTTTGATACATAAAAAAATACATTATTAGAGGGTACTAATACCCCCTTAGCCCCCCCCCCATTTTTGCGCCTATGCTTGTAAAGTCGTAATAATTAGATTAATTTGTTTTGTATTATGGAATTAATTAATTCAAACAAAGGTGTATTGAAAGGGTATCAAAGTAGACAACGACAAGTGCAAAAACTAGGATTGGAAACATTGAAACATATTACAGAGAATATGGACGTTCAGTAAACGTTGTGCAATTCTAGACTAACTGTTTTAAATTAGTATTAGCAATTTAATTTTCTGATTCTTTTTGGTTGGGAAGTAAAAGGAGTAAACATTATTTTTAGTCTATGTGCCTATCCGATTTCGTCAACAATTTTAACTCATAATGACAATACAAATATATTGTGCGTATGTATCTTTGGTAGGTATTTATAAACTGCTAGGTATAAAATTAACCTGTGAGGATTTTGTGGTAACAATTTAAAGTCGTAGATATTAAAATTAAAATTGCATAAGTTCTTAATTAGGTAAATAATAATTTATAATTATTCATATTTTGTCAACATTTGAACATTCAACGCGTTTTAAAAACATGTGCCTATGTTATTTTAATATTATTTTTGCTAAATAAAAGAAAAACGTAGAGAAATACCGTAATTAGATTTTCAAGCTTTTTAGCTGAGGAATACAAATTATTAAGTAGGTATCAAGGATTCGAGTATCAACATAAATCAAATAACAATTTAAATTATCTATTAAGCATTCAGCATATAGGTAGGTATGAACGAGAATCCATTTTTTAAATTTTAAATATATATTTTTAGGTCATATTAATTATTATATGTATATTTACCGCATTAGAAATTATTACATAAATAGGTAGTATTGGTAGTAGGTACATCACATTTATACTACATAGTGAATTCAAGTGGCAAACTTTAAACGGAATAAAAATATACCGATTACATTTTTAATAATAAAAATAAACTTACCTCTTTTGGAACAAAATACTTTGTTATCGATTTCTCTGACCAGCAACAACCCAAGCATCTGTGAGATAACGTAAAACGGACCCAACGTCTTGAATCCAAACGTTTTGCTCGTCGATACCATAATATAATTAATCCACGGAAAAGTTATTAGAAATTAAATCTTTGAAAGCAGTGTTACCTACTGCATTATATATTTTGTTATCAACTTGAGCTAAGTAATAATTTTTTTTGAATGCCGAATATCAGCTATATAATATATTACCCCAACTGGCGTTGACATTATAATTATATGTACATACCATCGACATACGACCATATAATATTGTATTGTTTCAGTTTAGGTAGGTAGGTACTTATTATATAATATTGTGTAGTGCACGATATATATATGCATTATTTATAGACATCTGTCATGTAATGACAAGCCGTCGAAAAACATAACTATAGTGTGCGGACAAATTATTTATTACTTTGTATAAAGATTGTATAAATGGATTAATGGGTAACGTTGTATTACGTTTTATTATTGGTAAAGCATATTTTATTTGTCAGACAGGTACCTCCTAGCTAACCTAGCTAAGTATCATAGTATAATATTAATTTATAATAAACATATAGGTACTATTATATATACTATTTGTCGTTACAAATTATCATCCGATAAAAAACACAATATATATTTCATCTTTTGGTTACCTATACAATTCGGCGTTTTATATTACGATATGTACCATTGTTTAAGCTCACTCATACCTACAGACTACTGTCATAAGGTTTCGTGTGCAACCCTAGTCGCACAATTAGGTAGGTAAATGTTTTTTTTCGGAACAATAGATTACTATTATTTCTTACTATACTACTATAGTACTATATCATATATAAAAACACAGGGGTGGACTGGGCTTGTAAAATACTACAGACCATCAATTATAGAAACCCTCACATTCAGGAAAAATCAGGAAATAAATAATGTTGAATTGCTATTATGTACAAAATAAAAAAGGTGGGTAAGTGGATATCGCTCTGCTGTACAGTAGGTTACAAGTGGGTCACTGTATAATGAATGCTATTAAATTTTAATTAAATGATACAATATCATTGTATAAGAAAAACGATTCTGAGCGAAGACGGTATGTCAGTCTAGGTTTAAGACAAATTATATACATATCAATGGTATTAAAAAAAAAATTGACCTATAATAAATTCCAAATTAATCATATCACATTATCACAATATCCATTAGGTACTTATAACACGTTATACATCAACATCAATAACAAACCCTGATACTATCATAGATATTATATAATAGTACACTTTAGAAGTTTCAAGTAGGTACCCACGAATAATATTATACAATCACAACAAAATAACTAGGTTTTTTAATATATAATTTCGTCCAAATTTGAAGATAAAATGACTATAAAAATAAACTGTGATTGTATATTTTTTAGATTTTTCGGTAAGAGAATTAACTACTTACGTGGAATCTTGTTTTAAATTTTCAATCCTTAGCTATAAAAACAGAACATTTTATAATTTATTAATTACGATGATTAACCCTAGAGCACACGCTTCACGGTCAAAAAGACCGGGATTTAAGAATTTTGTTCATTGTTTCAAAAATATGAAATATTAACCTAATCCAACCTAGGTAACTTCTAATTAGGTGATAAACTAAAATTAGATACAACTCTCAAATGTATACGATCTGATGTCAGTAATATAGAAGTGTTCAAAGTTCATTACCAGGCATTACGTATTAATATACGGTCAAAAAGACCGTGTGCGTGATCGTAAAAAATCAAGTATGGGTTATTTTTAAACTGTGTTTCTAACAATTGCTGCTCGATAAACAAAATTGATTGTTTATTATGTTTTCATTGTGACTGGTTAGTTGACCATGGTTTGCGCCATACTGTGTGTGACTAAAAAGACCGTGTGCGTGTATTCTCGTGAATATTGTAAATGCGTGTGATCTAGGGTTAATAATTTTCGAGATTTTGAAAAATTCTGTCAAAATTCGATGTTTAAATGCTTATAAAAAAAAATGTATTTTGTATGTATGTATTTTTAATATTTTTCAACTGATATTGTAACAATACATCAGGAGCCTTGTATTAAATTTTTACACTTTTTGGCCCAACAGATAAAACTTTATTGATATTCATAGAAAAAAAAACTAAAAAAATTGAAAAATGAAAATATCCGTAAACAGCTCAAAAAGAGTCAAAATATTTTCAAAATTGTATGGTGTATAGGAAATGCTACTATAAACATTCAGTGAAATTTTCATGTATCTATAGTTATTCGTTTATGAATAACAACAAAATAAGGAAATCGCTACATGAGAAATCGAGTGAACATCCAATGTTGTAAAAATTTGAATTTCAAACGCTCATAAAAATTTAATTTGACTGTCCGGTAGAGATTTTTTTATTGATAAAGGTAGACAAACTTATGAGTAATCTTGTATTACATTTTCAAATCTTAGATTTAAAAAGAAAAATTTTTACGAATTCTTAACTCAAAATAATTTGCTAATTTTTGTGATTTTTCCATATTTTGTCAATTTTTGAACTTTAAATGCGTATAAAAAAAAACTGTGACTAACGATTTTTAATATTTTTCATCTGCCTTTGAAACAATATACTAGGAGCCTTCTATTGAATTTTCAATTTTTTTTAACCAACAAATCAAATTTTATTGATATTTCTAGAAAAAAAACCAAAAAAAAAATGAAAAATGAAAATGTCCCTAAACTGTTCAAAATAAATCAGAATATTTTGAAAATGTTATCGTGTATAGAAAATGCAAATATAAACAACCAGTGAAAATTTCATGTATCTACGGTCATCTGTTTTAAAGTTACACCAAAAACCAAAATTCAATTTTCTGAAAAATCGATTTTACATAAAAATTCCCGTTTTTCCTTAATTTTTCTTCTGTTTTTCTTGGCGCTTTTGAAAAGTACTGGGAATTTTAAAATTTGACCTCCTCAATGCACCAACGATATTCACTTTCCAATCGAACAAGATACTGAAGTCGAAAATCGAAGCATTTTTTCTACTACTTATCGTGTACACAGACACAAAAATAAAAAAAAAACACACATCATTGTAAAATCAATACATTCATCGTTCCACTCAGAATCTAAAAATCAACATTATTTTTTTTGGTTTTGGTGGCAAGGGGGTGCTGATATAACGTTACACTTGTACCACAGCGGAAAATTGATTTCTCCGAGGGAAATACTTTGGTACAAATTATGAAATTGATGGTACAAATCGGTACAAATTATAATAAAATTATAAAATATAGGTAATATAAAATAATTAGGTACAATAGCGTGGCTTTAAATATTTGAATTTGAGTTAAAATAATTTAAGTACAAACTCAGTATTATTAAGTATATTTATAATATATTAGATTATTACGTGGAAAATATAAAGATTCAAATTTTTGCGCCTAGCGAGAAAAAATCTTTTTTAATAATTATTATATTACAATATATTATACTTATCTGCTGAACTTTGTTTTGGCCGTCCTCAACTAAAGTTGTTAGAATACCTTTCAAAAAGTTAAAATGACGCCCCTGAATTAAACAATTATACAACACAATATATTAAATTTGTTTGGATGTTTCTTTGTAACTCCTCGGCAACACTATTTTATAAAATTAAAAAAAATGGCCATGTGACCTCCACATCCCACCTTGTCCTTGTATACGCCCCTGCTGTTCAACAACTAGTTAAAATAAATAAATAGAATATTAGAAAATAAAAAAAATGTTCAACTAAGTTATTCATTTCATAAATAATTGTAATTTTTTAACTTTTAGTTACGAATACTAATGCCAGTCAATAGATTCAGTTGGTTATTATCTCATTTACATGTCAATGACAATTCAGTCATGCCCAAAAAAGGTGATAAATAGTATGACAAACTATATAGAATAAGACCTTTTGTTGATTTTATTTTAAAAAATAGTCAACGTTTATACAATCCAAATAAAATAATTGCCATTGACGAATCAATGATTAAATTCAAAGGACGGCATAGCGCAAAGCAATACTTACCAAAAAAACCTATTAAAAGGGGTTATAGAGTATGGGCCCTTGCCGATAAAAATGGTTACCTTTGAAACTTTGAGATTTATACTGGAAAATCTGGAGATTTAGCTGAGAAAAATTTAGGCGCTCGCGTTATCAAACAATTATCCCAGCCCTTACAAAACAAAAATCATCATCTGTACTTTGACAATTATTTCACTAGCTATCCATTAATGACTTTTTTGAAATCAAAAAATATACATGCTTGTGGAACTGTAAATATGACGAGGAAATATTTACCTACATTAAAATTAGACAAAGAATTAAAAACAGGAGAATATGATTGGCCAGTAGGTACTCAACTTCCATTGTAAAATGGAAAGACAAAAGAACAGTAAGCTTACTTTCTAACTTTCATGACCCCAAAAATGAAAAAACAGTTCAGCGAAAAGCTAAAGGTGGAACACTTTCATATGTTCTTTGCCCTAGTGCATTAAAAGATTACAATCAAAATATGAATTGTGTCGATAGGTTCGACCAAAATAAAAAAACTTGTCAAATCGATAGAAAAAGCAAGAAGTGGTGGCATCGTATTTTTTTTCATTTTATCGATGTCGCTATTGTAAACGCGCATGTGATATACACTCAAAAAACTGGAACTAAAATGAAAATGAAGGACTTTCGCAGAGAAATTTCATCAGAATTAGTAAGAAAAAAAATGTTAGAAAAACGTCGAATGAAGCAAACTTCAGAATCACCTCCAGTTCAACTACAAAAAAATAAGCCGTTTGTTCCAAAAAATATTAGAGTTGATCAATCTGCACACCAGCCAATAAGATCTAGTCGAAGAAGATGCGGAAATTGCAGTACTAAAGTAAAGGAAGTAAGAACTGAATGGATATGCTCAGTGTGTAACATACCTTTGTGTTTAAATAAAAACAAAAACTGTTTTACTGATTACCATAAATAATTAGTTTAAATTGTATAATTTTTGTTTTAATTTTGATACAAGTAATTAATTTAATTTTCAATTTTTTATAAGATTTTTTTGTGTTGTACGAAATTAAAATTTGTTACTTTTTTATTTGAATAGGTAATCCTATTCTAAGTTATAACCCACATAACTTATATAAGAAATAAAATAATTTATTATAACATTTATAACTTGCTGTAGTTATAAATAAAAGACATTTTGAAATTCTAAATTCTATACTACCTACTCACAAAAAACCTCTCAAAGTACACAGTGGGATACATGTGATCCCACCTATAGTTATCACATCATTCAATTCATATATTTTTTTTTTTACTTAATAATAATTGTATGTGATGGATTAAAATGAAATTACATTGAAAGTTATGACAATTAAAGTAAAATTTAATAGGTTGTGCAACAACGGGGTAGAAAAATCCGAAAAACGTGTGTCGCAAAGAGTTAAAAGAAATTAAATATGCATCTTTACAGGTAAAAATTATTTTTAAACAGAAAAATATTATTTTTTTTTTTTGTACAAAAAAAACTCCGATAAAAAATTATACACATTAAGAATAATAGTAAAAAAACAAATGAATTCTTTATTCCAAATTTGTGTCTATATGGTAAACTTCGAAGCATTTTCCAGCACATAATCCAACCTTACACTGTTTTGCATTTAAATTAAGTTTGTTTTCGAACTTTCTTTTTGAAACATACAACGCAGTTTTTGAAGTATTTTTTTCTTTTGTAACCTTCAGGTAGTGGAATTGTTTCTTGAAAGTGTGCATTATCTGGTATAATAATGTCTGATCTTTTGGGTTTTATTTTTTTAAATAATTGATCACAAGTTGCATCTACAGGAATTTGTATGAAATTTCTAATAAGAGAGTCTCTGAAGTCTTTAAATCTCAGATTATTGAGAGTAAAATGTTTTTTATAAATAAAAAATGTATTCCATATTGTCACGTCTAATAAGTGAAATAAGACTTTTTTATACCACCTTGCTGACTTACGAGGGCAAGAACAGTAACTGATCATCTGATTAGCACGATCTACCCCACTCATAAATTCATTGTATTTCACGATTTCAATAGGCTTAAATCTTTCTTGACCATATTTATTTGTTGATAAAATAATGGTTGGTTTATGATTAGTGGTAATACATACTACATCTCGTTTATCCTTCCATTTCGAAACGTAAACCAATCCTCTCCGTTTCCATACATGTTCACCTTTTTTAAGTTTTTTATTTACTACTTCCTTCGGATTTCCTTTCCAATTATTTCTTAACGTACCTGTTACGTGAGTTTATTTGTTTAATAGTTCGTTCGATAGTGTTACACTGTTGTAATAGTTGTCCATATAAAGACTGTGTCCTTTACCCAAGTACGGAGACATAAGCTTTAATACTAAGCTGTCGATTTTAGAAGTTTGACATGGAATTTGAGAAATTGAATCATTTTTTCCTTTGTACATGTCAATGTTTAATACATACCCATCGGGAGTACAGAGCTCATAAAATTTGATTCCATACTTTGCTTTTTCCCCTTAATGTATTGACGGAATCCTAATCTACCACGATGTAAAAGTAAAGATTCGTCTAATGACAAATTTATATCTGGATAAATAGCTTTTTGAAAATTTTGTATTAGAAGTGTATACACGGGATTAATTTTTCGCATCGGTCCATCATCACACACTTCTAAACCGGAATACTCTACACTAAAACAATTTAAAAGCTGCTCAAATCTTCTTCCTGACATTGTTTTTTTAATCAAAGGGTGGCTGTATAAGGGGTTATTTGAAAATGCATCACGTAATACGGAATATTTTACTGAACCCAAAAGTAAACAGATTCCGAAAAAATTTTGCATTTTATCTTTGTTGGTTTCATTGAAACATGTTTTACGAGAATATTTATTGTGAGGACGGTTTACTGCTTTAATTTTATGACCATAATTATTTGTAGAATTCACAATTATATCAAAAATTTCGTCAGTCCATAAAAGTTTAAATAAATTTTTTGGTGAATCTCGAGCAGATTCGGGTACGTTTATTTTAATTCCCGATAGAGTTGAATCAAAATTGAAATCCGGTATATCTTTTTCAGTGTCTACCCATAAATCTGAGTCAGACCAATCACAATCTTCGTCACTTGAACTTACCTCCACAGAAATGTCATCATCATCTGAATCTGATCTACCAACAGGAACGAATGTGTTAGATGTCGATGTTTCATGGCAACTTTGCAATTTATTACCACCAGGAATATATTCAGGATCGGCATCTGAATCGTACATTATAGATTCATCTGAATCTAATTCATCAGATAAGAATTGTTCAATTAATTTATCTTGTCGTGATAACATATTGAACGCACTAAAGTAGGTACTCGTAGTTCGTACAACGTGGTCGCCAAACGTATTGATTAATTCAGTCACATTATACTGTGCATAAAACTATATCGACAGCACCGATAACGATTGTTAATGTTGATTATTATTATAATATATTAATGGAAACCCACGAACAGGGATAAAAATAGACAGGAGAAATTAAATTTACTATTTTTATTTTTATTTGGCTTTATTTTGACAGTGCCCGATGGTTTATTGAAATCTACTGGGGCAGAACAATATGCTCTTTCATATAAGACCATAGAATTAATTACTGCCAGGGCCTGATTAACCAATAGGCTAAGTAGGCTACAGCCTAGGGCACCTAGCGTTTTGGGGGCGCCACAAAATTTTTTTTTTACGAATGTAGAATTTTTGCATAATATATACTTTAAAAAAAAAAAATTATATTTTCGTTTCCGCGGCCTATTCGCCGTGCCGTTACCTCGTCGCCGCAACTAATTTCTGCCCGGTCGACTATTGTAATATATTACGTTATTTGTCATATACCTATTTCTTGTAATCGTCACGGGCTTATCGCACCGACGACCGAGCGATCCCACATCCACTAATATTATGTATAAGACTTTTGAGCCATTTAAAATCCTTGAAGATAGAGTGTCACTATTTCCAAATGTTGAAGTGGCTCTAAGAATATATTTGAGTGTGGCCGTCACAAATTGTAGAGGAGAAAGATCTTTTTTTGCCATAGGCCGGGTGAAAAACATTTTAAGATCCACTTTACGCCAGGATAAAATGAAGGCCCTTGCACTTTTGTTTATTGAAAGTGAATTCATGAACAATATTTCTTTCGATGAAATAGTAGTCTTTCGCAGCGTTAAAATCAAGGAAAAACTTTTTTATATGAATAATATTTAGTTCAATCATAAATTAAAAATGTTTAAATGCTTTTGTGTATAATTTTATTAAATATAAAACACGTTTTATTTTAAACAAAAAAAGTCTGTAGTTTTTACGTTTTCTTAATCCTCGTTTTACCCTCCAACCACTCCGATCATTCATAGGGGCGCCAAATCAACCCTAGCCTACTGGTGACCAACTACTTAATCAGGCCCTGATTACTGCTATAGCAGTACTGACATTTTTTCGACGGTTTTCGTATTACTGCTATAACAATAATATTTGTAAGTGTCCCCCGACATCAATTTTTGAAATTACTGCTATAGCAGTACTGTCCACCAACGTGTTTTAAACAAATTATTACCATAGGTAAATAAAAATCTAAAGCTAAATTAGTTTGTTCTTTGTAAGTTGGTGTGTTTATTTTAATTTTATTAGAGCACTTCGTTTCCCGTTAAATGTACCAACTCTATATGACTCAAACTTTGTTCAATTCGTTATTTAATATTCGGTGTATGGTGTTCAAAATGTATCTTAACTCTTCTGTTGCCTGGGATGAAAATTCTGATTCGCAGAGGTAGATCGTGGACCCCGTGCTGTTTGTACGTAACTTTATAATTTAACTCTAAGGTATCAAAGTTATACCAAGCATGTAACTGAACTCCTAAACAGCCGGACTAATTGTGAATGCCGAGTCTGTCGACCAATATTTTCCTCCTCATCCACGAAGACGTGGCATTGTTTTATGTACGTTGTACGTAACTTATATGTGAATATAATACACTCAATATTTATGTAATTGCGATACATATAATATCAAAACACAGCGTATAAACAAATTAAATTCATTGAATGAATACACTGATTTCACGGCAACCAATAATTATTATTATAATAGCTTTAAAACCCATGGCGACCATTTATAAAAATGTACACCTTAAATCTCTAAATTCCCGTTGGACGACATACCCTGGTTGGACCTAGGGGAGTGATTTGTAGCCTATGTGTTATTCTGATGTATAAGCTATATTATTATAAAATGTCATTAAAATCCATTCAGTAGTTTTTACGTGAAAGAGTAACAAACATACTGTCGTATATTGTAGACAGTCGTCACTGTAATGTACACATAATATAGGTGGGAACGTTTTAAATTATAAATTATTGACATAGGTCAGACTAATGCAGCAAGATGTACTGAGGCAGCAATAATAATATTTACTATATAACACCGCCGTAAACGCAGGCACGAGGAGTCCCGTTGTCGCTGAGTGATTCGGTGGGTACCCCATAGGTACGACAATTGTACGAATGATATGGCAGTCGTAGTACGGACCAAGTAAATGGGAAGAAACACTAGGAATAATGTGGAATACTTTTAAATTTTTAAATTTATAAGTGCAATTTTTAATGTTTTATATTTTAGTGTTATAAATATTTAGTATCTGTGTTTAAAATACAATATAAATGTCATTTATTAATTATTATAGGTCGAAGAAGAGGGCAAAGAGCAACCTGCGTAATATCTTTAACCTTCATCAGTTCCTATCATAGATCTGCTAATAGATGGACTGCGCTTTCCGACCCCCTTACCTGCCGAACTCAACACGAGCGGATCACCGCAGCTAGTTCCAAGGTAAATATGCGCATGCGTGCACCTTATCACAATGTTATCACAGAATACAGATATTATCAATTTATCACATATTAAATAGTTATCACTTAGAAGTTAGAATAAAAATATTAAAATTGTATAAAAAAGTATAAAATATTAATAAATTATGTATAGTAAATAATAAATTAAAGATGTTTAATACATCTATGTCTTATAATATGTATGTAGTATATAAGTATATGTAGTACAAGTTATTGTGGTTTTGAAGAGGCATCATAATAAACATGATCAAAGTCAGTATGTATTGTTTGGCTCGATCGCTCTTCACTATTAATCGTTTCCAGAATAGAGGATTTTTGTACCTCTGTTGGTTTTGTCAATTTGTTAGTTGATACTTTATGTTTTTTTTTCGTAGAATGAAAACGTTGTGTCGCAATATTTTTGTGGCTTGGCAAGTTAGATACTTTTGGGAAAAATGAACCGGAATTGATTGGATTTGTTTGACCCTGTTGTAAAATTTGCACGAGGTCTCAAGTTTTTTAATGCCTTTTAATTTGGCTTCATCTGTTGCAGTATTCGCCACTCCTACTGCTGCATTAAGTAGAGCTGTAAAGCGAGTTGATATTGAAACAGATTCATTTGGATGTACCGAATTTATTTGAACTCCTTCAACAACATTACGATTATGCTAATCAAAGGCTGATGTTTCTCGGTCTTCGTCAATAGAAATTTCAAATTTTTTATTGGACACTCGAATGCATGCATGTACATGTTTACAAAAGTTTCCTTTGATTTTGTAATCAATACATATGCATGTAAATTGATGGACACACACATGACAATTAGGACATGCCAAAGGACATCCTATACAATTTTCTGTGTTATTAATTGTAACAGAGTATGGACTTTTATCTGATGTCGCCGATTGTACGAGCCACGTGTGTGTGTTAATATTTGTTATTTTGCTGTCTTCAATATGTACGCTTTGGTGATGACTGTGTGCAATTTGTTCCATCCGATATGTAGGTTTATTTTTCATCATTCGTATTGTCCTTTCAAACATCATATCCCTAGCGAAGCGCATCAGCAAACTAATACATTTGTCGACTCTTCTATTTTGTTTGCCTTGCATGTAACAATATTTTATTTTCTTGTGCATCGCTTCCAGATACATATTTGTGTTCAAAGATAAATCATGTCTATAACAGAATGCCCATGCTTTGGGTCTATGAGAGTAATAACTTTCAAAATAATTACCAAAATCTTTTGTTTCGTCGTCGTCTTTAAGCATTGCGATAAAGCATTCTATAGAATTTTGGAACTGGTCTACATCCATAATTTCCATTAATGTACGGCAAGCTTTGTATACTTCTGACTGTTTAGTAAGGGATTTAATCTTATTGAGATTTTTTCTCCAACTTCTATCTACGTGCCAGTTACAAAGCAAATGATGTTGTGGTTCTATCATTACATTTGACCAAGCGTTTATGTATGTTAAAGTATCATCAGACATTAATACTTTTGTTGAAATTAAACCTACTTTTTCTTTTACAGACAAAAAAAATCTTGACATAGCCACCGAATCAATTCTATTACTTATACAAAATGCTACTGGACAACCTGCTCCAAATTCATCAACAGTAAGCAATGTTGTAAGCTGAAAGTCATGACTGGTTGTTCCATGGGTGCTGTCAATGCAAATTCGATCGGTCGCGTATTTTACCAAAACATCTTTTTGATAAAGTGTCATAATTACAATCATAAAATCGTCTTTCAGTAGTGGACCTTCTTTTTCACATCCCTGGTTTTTAAAATATATTATTGGTGATTTCTCCTTAAGTAACATCTGTTCTTGCACCCATATTTCTGTGCTAAAAGCATCATTTGTATGTACAATATCTCTGTCTAAATCATAATCTCTTACAATATTATGCAAGTCTCGTTTGTCGACAGCATGGAAACGATCAACACTTTCTGCTGTAGATGCTGATTTTCGAATATCATCCAAAATACGTTCAAAAGTCACTCCAGATTTAATTCTACCAGCCAGTTCATCCCTTTCTTCTTTTGACAGATATAAAAATTTCATGTTTAATGCATGGCCTACATGTGTTCTTCTAAATTCTACTGTCACTTGACCTTCATTATTTGTTAATATCATTCCAGCTGGACAAATTTTTCCAGTTTTACAAGTTTCTGACCATTTCATTCTCTTACCTGTACCTTCTTTTCGGGAAGAACCTGACCGATGACAAGCATAATATGTTTTATTTCCAACCACTCTTTGAACAACAAAGAAAGACAGATCTTCTTTTTCAACATTTCTTTTCCATATTTTAAACTCTGTTATATGAAAAATATTAATGTATTAATTATCTATAATATTTTACAAATTAATATATTAAGTACCTTGGAGTGAATCAAAGTCCTTACATTCTTTTTTCATCGCTACATTGTGTACTATGGAAATGTGTTCACATAAATTTGAGCATGTTGTACAATCTTGTTCACACAAAGGACATTTGAGTAAACGTACACTACTTCGGTTGTCCACTCCATGAGCTTTTTGCAAATGTTTGTTCATATTGCCTTTATTGCTAAATGTGCTGTCACATAAAAAACATTTCTCTTCACTTTCTTTTTCCCTCTCATTATTTCTCATTTGCTTGTATAAAGATTTTTTAGACGTTTCCATTTTTATGTAAAACTAATGAATAATAACTGATGAATAAATAACTTATATTGTTATGTTATTTGTACTATGACTACTTTCCTTACAATGGGGAAATTTTATTACATCTTAGATACTCTGTATACATATATATATATATATATATATGTTTCTACCCCTTGCAATATTTTAGCTATCTGAAAATATATATAGATCATTATAGTACAAAAGAAATTTTCCTCCCGAATTGTTCTCAATTACCTTTTAAATTATATTTTATTACATCTTAGATAATAAAACTAGTTCACTTATCTTACTTGTATGTGTTTAACAAATCTTTTGTACTATAATGACGCTATATATCTTTCAGATAGCTAAAATATTGCAAGGAAGTAGAAACATATATATATATATATATATATATAATATATGTATACCGGGTGATTCTTTTATCACTGAACACTCATTATTTCAAAAGTGTAAGTTTTTGAAAATATTTTTTACATAGTTTCAAGTTGCTTATAAAAGAACATTTTTATTAAAAAATTAGATTTTTAAATATTTTTTATCCTTATAATTTTTTAATAAAAATGTTCTTTTATAAGCAACTTGAAACTATGTAAAAAATATTTTCAAAAAAACTTACACTTTTTGAAATAATGAGTGTTCAATGATAAAAGAATCACCCGGTATATATACAGACTGCACAACTGCACTAGGAACTATATTATG